TTTTTCCCAAACTTGAAAACTATAAATCCACAGATCTAAGAAGCTCAACAAAATCTAAGTGCAATAAATATGGAAAAATTACAGCAAGATACATTATAATCAAATGATTCAAAAACCAGTAATAAAAGAGAAAATCTTAAAAGCTACCAGAGGTAAAAAATTCATCTGTTATGTACCAAAAGAACAAAGATAAAGATGAAATACTTCTCATTAGAAACAATGCAAGTGAGAAAGACAGGGGACATCTTTCAGGAGCTGAAAAGAAAAAAACTGTCAACCTAGAATTCTATAAATGGAAAAAACATCTTTCAAAAATGAAGGGGAAATAAAGATTTTTGTTCAGATATACAAAAGCTGGAAAAATTACTCATCAGGAGAATCACACCACACAAAAAATAAAAAATAAAAAATTGAAGGACATCCTTTGGGAAGAAGTAAATCAGACCAAATGGGTCTACATAAAGGAATGAAGAGCAAGCACTGGGAAGAGTAACGACATGGGTAACTAGGTAAGATTTTACAATTATTTAAATCTATTTTTGTTTTTGTTAATCCTCACCTGAGGATATTTTTCCATTGGTTTTTTTAGAGAGAGTGGAGTGTGTGTGTGGCTATAACTGCGCCACCAGCCCCAGTTCGTGACTCCGGGTTCTGAAATAGAACATCGCCATCAGCAAGTCGCTTAATGCGCTTATTTACCCACTTATTTATTTATTTTATTGTGTCTGCAGCAGCTTGGCTGCTAAATGCATGTAGAAGGGCTAATTGAAATGGCTTTCAGACATGATAGTGTTCAATTATGGTGCAATTCCCTAAACCAATCAATGAGAAGTTATTAGAAGACTGCAAAGGTGCCTTAAAATGCAATGGCACAACAGGAAGAAGCCATCATCCGCTCAGAGGGACCAACAGTCTTGATTTTGAAATGTCAACCAGTGCTCTGTGTTGATCTCCAAAGAGTGAGATGGTTTTTTCTACTCCCTTCCCATGTCTGACTATACATTGAAGTAAATGAAACGGGCAGGACAGAAATATGCCTCTGAAGCTGCCCCCACATTATTAATCCAGAGACAAAGAATCACATTCTTTTCTTTTCTTCCCCCCCCCCTTTTTTGTGTGTTTTGTTAATCCTCACCCGAGGATATTTTTCCATTGATTTTTAGCGGGGGTGGGAGACGGAGAGACAGAGAGAAACAACTATGTGAGAGAGACACATCGATTGGTTGCCTCCCACACAAGTCCTGACGGGAGCTGGGGATCAAACCTGCAACCCAGGTATGTGCCATTGCCCGAGAATCGAACCTGCAACCCTTTGGTACTTGGGCACACTGGCCAGGGCTAAATCTTTTAAATAATATTTTGAAAGAGTAAAAAGATAACTATTTAAACAAAAATAACAGCAATATATTGTGAGTTTTCAACATGATGTAAACCCAAAATGCATGACAACGAAGATCAACTCTGGATAAAGCACAGGAAAAGTGAGGGCCTACAGTGCAAGCCCACAGTAGGCTCAAGTGCAAGCTCAAGACTGTTCTTCTGTTCCTTCCTGTTGACTAGATTTTGGGATAGTCTTGTGGCTTGGTTCTTAATTTAGATACTTCAGTTTACTCACGGAGTGAGTCTTAGCCAGAACCTAGTAACTTCAATACTGTTTGCCAAGAAAGGATGCTTGGTGTTACTTTGAGGTTCAACTGACAAAGGTATACTACTCACTGGTGGAGAATTATTCCTAGGCGTATTAATTAGTGCCTAATAGAATTCCTAGCTGACAGAGGCACCACCACACTAAAAAATGAGTAGACTTATAGAAAAGCACAGAAACATGACTCCCCCCAACTTTTTATATAGGGGTTGACATGGGGTTAAAAACTTCTTTATGGCATGAGACAAAGCTTAAGAAAATGATAACCAAAACAAATTAGCATTGGTAGTGTTGAATTCTGAAAAAAAAAAGTAAAGATAAAACAACAAATAAATCAACCAATTTCTTCTTTCCTTTTGACCCTTCCCATACATACCTCACCCGCCTGAGATTCAGAAAGCTCCAGCAGGAAAGGAATTTCTGTGTCAAAATTAGCAAAGAAGCTAGTCCACTGATGTTCAAAAGCCATCAAATCCTAGGAAAAAAATAAAAAGATAATGCATTTAGTCATTTAAAGAAGGTACTTTAGAAAATCAGAATCATGAAGCTGCGTCTGATCTCAAAATACTAGAACAATTAAATATGTTGTTTTAAGAGGTGGTATCAAACCACTGATACATGGTACCACATGGATGGACCTCAAAAACATGCCAAGTGAAAGAAGCCAGATATAAAAGGCCACTTTGTATATGGTCCATTTATATGAAATACCCACAAAAGACAAATCTATAGAGGCAGGAAGTAGATTGTGGTTTGCATGGGCTGGGAGTGGGAATGAACACAATGGAACTTTTTGGATTGATGAAAATGTTCTAAAATTTAATCCTGGTAATGGCTGCAGAACTCTGTACATTTACTAAAAATTATTGAATTGTATACATAAAAAGGGTGATTTTTTTGGTATATAAATTATACTCTAATAAAACTGTTTTTAAAAAGGATAGTAATGGCCTCCAAGTGCCTTACTTTATTTTTTATTTTCTATTAACCTATTTTTTATTGATTTTTAGAGAGAGAGAGAGAGAGAGAGAGAGGGAGAAACATTGATTTGTTGTTCCACTTACTTATGCATTCATTGGTTGATTCTTATATGTGCTCTGACTGGGGATCGAACTCACAACCTTGGCGAATTGGGAAGAGTCTCTAACCAACTGAGCTATCTGACCAAGGCTCATTAACATAGCTTTTATTTTATTTTTTATTTTTAGTTATATAAAATATTACAGATTTCTTTCATTCAAACAAGTTCACTAAAAGTATGTACGTATATATATTCATATATATAAACATATATGTACATATTTATGCTTTAAATATAAAGTTACTATGGAATGTGAATTGGTGGGGAAATACTACTTTATTTCAATTTAGAGTTTAACAAATTCAGAAGTAGTTGATTGTAGATTGAAATTCTAGGTTCAATTGAAGTTTCTGCCACCCAATATTCTTTAAAAAGTTTTTAATTCATTTTTTATTTTTCAATTACAGTTGTCATACAAAATCATATTAGTTTCAGATGTACACCCCAGTGATTAGACATTATATACCTTACTAAGTAATCAACCTGGTAAGTTCTGTACCCATCTGATACCATACATAGTTATTAGAATACTAGAGGCCCAGTGCATGACATTTGTGCGCTTGGGGGGAGGGGGTTTCAGCCGGCCTGCACCCTCTTGCAGTCTAGGACCCCTCAAGGGATGTCCGACTGCCGGCTTAGGCCTGCTCCCCACTGCTGCTGTGCTCGTCAGCTGTGAGCGCAGCTTCTGGCTGAGCGGTGCTCCCCCTGTGGGAGCACACTGACCACCAGGGGGCAGCTCCTGCATTGAATGTCTGCCCCCTGGTGGTCAGTGCATGTCATAGTGACTGGTTGTTCCGTTCAGTCGATTTGCATATTAGGGCTTTATTATATACGATTGATTATAGTATTCCCTATGCTGTACTTTACATCCCCATGACTATTCTGTAACTACCAATTTGTACTTCTTAATTCCTTCACTTTTTTCACCCATGCCCTGAACCCCCATTCCATATGGCAACCATCAAGTGTTCTTTGTATCTATGAGTCTATTTCTATTCTGCTTGTTCATTTATTTTGTTTTTAGATTCAATTGTTGATAGATATGTATCTATTGCCATTTTATTGTTCTTATCTTTTATCTTTTTTTTTTCCTTCTTCTTAAAGAAAACCCTTTACATTTTCTGTAATACAGGTTTGATGGTAATGAACTCCTTTAGGTTTTTCTTGTCTGGGAAGCTCTTCATAAGTCCTTTGATTCTAAATGATAGCTTTGCTGGGTAGAGTAATCTTGGTTGTAGGTCCTTGATTTCCATCACTTTGAATATTTCTTGCCACTCCCTTGTGGCCTGCAAAGTTTCTGTTGAGAAATCAGCTGTCAGTCTTAAGGAAGCTCCCTTGTAGGTAGTTAACTGCTTTGCTCTTGCTGCTTTTAAGATTCTCTCTTTTAAAAAAATAATTTTTAAAAATGTTATTTATTGACTTAGAGAAAGAGAGAAAGAGGGAGAGGGGGGGAGAGAGCAGGAGAGAAACACTGAGTTGTTTCATTTATTTATGCATTCATTGGTTGCTTCTTGTACATGTCCTGACTAGGGATCAAATCCACAACCTTGGAACATCAGGACAATGCTTCATCCACCGGAGCTACTCGGCCAGGGTTGGATTCCCTCTGTGTTTAACCTTTTGCATTTTAATTATGTGCGTTGCTGTGGGCCTCTTTGGGTTCATCTTCTTTGGGACTCTCTGCACTGCCTCGACTTGTATGTTTATTTCCTTCATCAAGTTAGAAAAGTTTTCAATTTCTTGCTTTCTTCTCCTTCCAGAACCCCCATGATGCAAATATTAGTACACTTGAAGTCATCCCATAGGCTCCTTACACTATTCATATATATATTGATTTCAGAGAGGAAGGAAGAGGGAGAGAGAGACAGAAACATCCATGGTGAGAGCGAATCACCGATCTGCCACCTCCTGCAAGTCCCCCACTGGGGGTCAAGCCCACAACCCGGGCATGTGCCCCCGACCAGAATTGAACCTGGGACCCCTCAGTTCGCATGCTGATGCTCCATCCACTGAGCCAAACCGGCCAGGGCACCTTACACTATTCTTATTTAAAAAAATTTTTTTTTTGCTTTTTGCTATTCTGATTAGGTGGGTTT